TTTGTTTTTTGTTTGTATGTGTATATATGTATGTGTGTGCACGTATGTGTACGTATGTGTATGTGTGTATATGTGTATATATATATATATATGTATATGTATATGTGTGTATATATGTATATATGTATATATAGCCTGCATAGAAATGTATATTGGTTAGGATTGGGCCACAGACTAGATTAGTTCGGATGAACTACCTCTGTGGTCCACACCAAGAAATTATTATTATTATTATTATTATTATTATTATTATAAGATTACTAGAATTGTTATTATTATTGGTGAAATAAATCATAAATTGAACAATAAATAAGTATAATATTGAAGGTATGAATGTGTGCAAAGACTATATTAATTATTCTGTATGCGCTTAGGTAAATTACAGGTGTTACTATAGTCAAAATAAATAATATTTAATGATTTATTGCACAAACAATGCAACTGTTGGTTTCTATTGAAAATGAGCTTCTAATAAAATGAATACAATATATGTGTGTGATACTGAAATGAAATACTCGGATCTTATATACTGAGAAAAGTGTTTGATGTGACGTGATTATAGCCTACTTAAGCCATGTCATATGACACTAGATTATTGTAGAAGATTTCATAGCATGCTTGTATGCAATGAAATAGATATCTTGTATTTGTAGTATATATTGCATGTCTAGCTAACAGGCAATAATCTCAAACTATGAGCACCCTAGTGTGGTTTGATGAGGTGATACTAAACTCCCACTCAGTGTTGATAATAGATTTCATTGCCATATGGTATATGATGAATATTGTGCTTTGTGGGCATTGTGTGCTTTATATTTATTTGTTTATGAATGCGTGTGACTGATATAATATGCTTTGTGAATTGAATTTGTATTTTTAAGTTAGAAGCCTTTTCATATGGACTATTCTTTGCTGTTTATAATACATGTGGTTTGTGTAGTGTGTAATACCTGCTATTCATAATACAGGTCATATGTTGACATGTGCTTTATGTGTCTATAAATAGATATAACTGTCTGTCCTATGTATACACTGTTATGAGTTGCATGGTTTAGTGTGGTCCCTGGAGCTACATGTATCATTGTCCTTTCTGATTACTCACTTACTCACCCCTCCCTCCCTCCCTCCCTCCCTCCCTCACTCACTCACTCCTCCCTCACTCACTCACTCACTCACTCACTCACTCACTCACTCACTCACTCACTTACTTACTCGCTCGCTCGTTCCATTATGTTTGGATTGAAACTACATGTATATACCGGTAAGGTTGCGATTTAATTGGAGTCTAATTAAACTAATTTAAAATTACATTGCATTTCAATATAGAATTGTGTTTTAATTACATGTAGTTTAATTAAATAAAAATAACATTATACTTTCTGTGACTTAACACAAAAATGTTTACAAAGCTTAGTGTTAGGATAAATTTACCGTACCTTACCCCTTTACTAACCCTAAACTACGCAAACTTGACTTAAATTCAATTAAATATTATAATGTATGACAATAGTGAGGGTCGTAACTTGGTAGGTTTGGCATGACTTGGTAGGTTTGGCGTGATGCGGTAGGTTTGGCGTGACTTGGTAGGTTTGTCGTGACGTGGTAGGTTTGTCATGACTTGGTAGGTTTGTCGTGACGCGGTAGGTATAAAGTTAAATGGAAGTAATCACAACATTGATAAAACAAACATGCTCACTCACTCACACACATACTCACTCACTTTGTCCAGTTTCTTTCTTGTCTGTTCCTCACTCACCCTTCTCTCCCTCTTTCATTTTTCCTTTCCTCTCTCACTAACCAACTCTCACCTTCTTCCATTTGTTCATATCTCATTCTTTCCTTATCACCTTTCCTATTTTTCCTTCACTGTAATGTCAGAATTTTCTCTACACTAATCATTCATATATTGATTTACTTTCAGTCCAAGACATAAAAGTAAAGCTCAGTGGAGACGAAAAGACAGACAACATCAACATGCTGAACATCTGCAGTTGAAGCGAGACCAACGAGAGGTAGGTTTTCCTTAGTGTACTCCATCAAAATGAAATGATGTAGGTTTACAATATGTTTGTATGAGGCCAGCAAGTTAACAAATCAGCATGTGAGTTGTCAAACGACTTGAATTATGGGTAATCTGTTGGCTGTTTTCACCTTTTTCAGGCCTAGCTTACTTTTGTTATTTCTGGTGTTGTAAATTATTTGAGCCATGCGAGAGTGATGGGATTACAGTCTAATAATAAAACTTAATACCCAAAAGCAATCTTATTATGTGCATGCATGGCTGGCTCTGCTGAAATTAATTGGATTCATAGTGTGAATGATTATCAAATATATTACAACTACACAATTCACGAGTGGATTTCCTCACTTACTGCTTAATTCATAGATTTGCTAAAAGCATATAATTAGTAGTTTGTTATGCATACAGATTTATTGAATGCAGTGTTTTTTTTTCCTGAAATATTGACAATAGTGTTATTTTCTTTTGGAAAGCATTCATTTATACACATTCATAGATCATCCACTCACTCACATACATGGTTATATATGGGACTGGTATTCATATATGGTAATATATCATAGAACTAGATTCCATATTTGGTTATGAACAGATCTTGTTCATATGCATGGAAACTGATGACTATATATCTGAACTGATATATTGTGCGACAGACTTCTGTATATGGAACTAGCTTCCATATATGGTAATATATCATGGAACTAGATTCCATATATGGTAATATATCAGGGGACTTGTTTCCATACATGGTTAAATATAAGACTGGTATTCATATATGGTAATATATCATGGAACTAGATTCCATATATGGTAATATATCAGGGGACTTGTTTCCATACATGGTTATATATGGGACTGGTATTCATATATGGTAATATATCATAGAACTAGATTCCATATATGGTTATATATGGAACTAGCTTTAATATATGGTAATATATCAGGGGGCTTGTTTCCATACATGGTTATATATGCGACTGGTATTCATATATGGTAATATATCATAGAACTAGATTCCATATATGGTTATATATGGAACTGGCTTCCATATATGGTAATATATCAGGGAACTAGTTTACATATATGGTTATATATGGTTATACATGTACAATGTACCTGTAGTGATATAAAATAAGAAAGACTTGCATCAATGGGACTAGCTAAGATATAATGTGATATATGGGACTGACTTTTGTACTACATATGATTACTCATTAAAGCGTGGTTGTCATTGTATTTTACATGCGTTATATACATCGATATGAGTCCCATATCGAACAGGATCCGACCTGACGACTACCACCCTTTAAAGTTGATATACACTTTACATTTAAGAACATCAAGAGTAATTGACAGTTTAGTGAAGCTGATATGAACTATTGTCCTTTGAGATATATAGAACTGATTGTCATCCATATATATAAGACTGAATTCTATAGAATTTGATATATGGAACTACCATGCTTTCATATTCTGGTATATTGACATAATATAGAACATATTATATTATTTATCCAGCTTTGTTTACTGCATGTGATTTATTGTGTCTCTCCACTTTCATACAAAGTTGATACACTGTTTAGATTTAAAAGCATCTGCAGTATTTGACTAATATAAACTATTGCCATTTGAAACTTGTGAAATTGCCAGACTTCCATATATGGGGAGTGACTTCCATATAAATTCCACATATGGGGACTGACTTCCATATGAACTCAATATGTGGGGACTGACTTCCATATAAATTGTACATATGGGGACTGACTTCTATATAAATTCAACATGTGGAGGCTGACTTCCATATAAATTCAATATGTGGGGACTGACTTCCATATAAATTCCACATGTGGGGACTGACTTCCATATGAATTCAACATATGGGGACTGACTTCCATATAAATTCAATATGTGGGGACTGACTTCCATATAAATTGTACTTATGGGGACTGACTTCCATATAAATTTGACATGTGGGGACTGACTTCCATATAAATTCAATATGTGGGGGCTGACTTCCATATAAATGCAACATGTGGGGACTGACTTCCATATAAATTCAACATATGGGGACTGACTTCCATATAAATTCAATATGTGGGGACTGACTTCCATATAAATTCAACATGTGGGGACTGACTTCCAAATAAATTCAACATATGGGGACTGACTTTCTTATAAATTCAATATGTGGGGACTGACTTCCATATAAATTCAATATGTGGGGACTGACTTCCATATAAATTCAACATATGGGGACTGACTTTCTTATAAATTCAACATGTGGGGACTGACTTCCATATAAATTCAATATGTGGGTACTGACTTCCATATAAATTCAACATGTGGGGACTGACTTCCATATAAATTCAACATATGGGGACTGACTTCCATATAAATTCAACATATGGGGACTGACTTCCATATAAATTCAACATGTGGGGACTGACTTCCATATAAATTCAACATGTGCGGACTGACTTCCATATAAATTCAATATGTGGGGACTGACTTCCATATCAATTCAATGTGGGGACTGACTTCCATATAAATTCCACATATGGGAACTGACTCCATATAAATTCCATATATGGGACTGACTTTGATGTAAATTCCACATATGGGGATTGATAAATTTAATATGTGGGGCTGACTCTCTCCCTGAATTCCATATTAGGGATCATATAAATCATATATATGGGACTTATGTCAATATATATTCCATAATGGGACTGATGTTCATATAAATTCCATACATGAACCAATTCCTTTCTTATTTGGGACTGACATCCACATAAGTTTTATACATTGGACTGGCCTCCATATAATTACTATATATGGGACTGACTTGCTTATAAATTTTATATGAGGGACTGTCTCCCTGAATTCCATATTAGGGGGTCATATAAATCATATATATGGGACTGACTCCCATATGAATTCCATATATGGGGCTGTCTTCCATATAAATTTCTTATATGGACTGTCTTCCATATAAATTTCTTGTATAGAACTGACGTCCACATACATTTTATATAAATACTAAACATGTATGTGGGACTGACTTCCATATAAATTTTATGTAGAACTGGCTCTCCCTGAAAACCATATTAGGGGTCATATAAATTCCATATATGGGGCTAACTCCCATATAAATTCCATATATGGGGCTGACGTCCATATAAATTCTAACATCTGACAGACTTCCAAATACAGATACATGTATAGATTTAGAACATGAGATTAATCACCCATATATTTGCTCTTTGGTGTCAGCTTACTTCATACAATATATGGTCATGCATGTAGCAATATGTTATTTCAAATTAAGGTGACATTTTCTGCTTTACTTTTCTCATATCATCATCTTCATGTCTAACATCACCTGCCAACCATACACCAGGTGTATCTCGCTGATAAACACATGAGAAAGTGGCTTGTGAGTGATTTTCCTATATCATTTAGATGTTACTTTGCTATTTTAACCTTTCATGGTATTTATTTATTAATTACGTTGTTGAGTTTTTGCTTTTGAATTTAATTATCATTGCCTGTTGTTGTTGTTTATAGTTTATTTAGTATGCATGTGTATTTGTTTATTATTTAAATCATTGTGCTTTAAGCGAGTGATGTTTCAGCTGAGTAATGTGTACATACCCCAGCTGCTGAAATATCATCACTGAATGTAAATCTTTTTCCTAACTGACTTAAGCAAATGTTAAGCTGACAACTACACACTGTGTATCAAAGTATGTTTAGTGAATAGATTTAATCCGCAATTTTTTTTTTTTTTTTTTTTGAAAATCAGACTTCATAGATCTACTTTGAAATAACAAAATAGAGTATTGAACATTCACTGATATCGCAAAGTGAAGAAGTGCTTGTGATTTTTTGAATGATTATGTAAATCAAGCGTCCTTGACCGGTACTATATTGGCCGAACTTAGAGAACTATTTCTTCTGTAACTTGTAATTGTGGGAAATTTTTTAATGCAGCTTAATTTTTGCCAATGCCAGTTTTATTACAAGTACATTACAATGAAATTGAACTTTATTTGACAGCTCTTGTAGCAATGTGTTAGGAATCAAGGGTTGATTCACAAGGGCTTGTACATCAATCATACATACCTGATAACAATGGCAGGAAATCTCACTGAACTATCTGATGGTTTGCTCCCATTGATATTGACAAGTGAGGGTTGCAGTATCTGTATGAAACATTAAAAAGGAATGTTTTAGTGTTTTGAAAGTATTGAAGTATATTTTTGCTTTTCTATTGCGGTAATATAATGGTATTTTGCATACATGAATATAAATCGCTGCGATACATGTATAAACATGAATATCTCGATAGATCAGAGTCTCTACTATCTGTGTATCTGATTCTATGGCTTATGGATGCCTTCTACATACTTGGCGTACTTTATTTTAGAAGGAATTTATTTTCACTGATTATTAATGAGTTGAATGTAACATATAGAGGAAAGGGTATATTTGCTGGATTTTATTTTCACTGAATCAACTTTTAACAAAATATATTTGAAGCGAACATAAACTATTTTACAGTATTAAGTGTGATTTCAGTGTGATGTTCATCAGATACAACTTACATGTATCTTACAAGCCCTTGTTTATTGACTCTTGACTTTTTTTTATACTAGACTAGTTTTTTCAGTTATTTGACTTCAAGTTCTCCTGTATTCTACATTGTATATTATTCTAGGAAGGAGATTGTTAAAATTTTGTATCAGTTTTACCCAAACATGTAAAAATATACAATGTATATTACAGGGATTGCGTTAACATTTTCGTGTAGCGAGTCCCAACGAGAAAATGAACTAGAACTTGCAATATATTCTGTGTTTAAATAAAATCCTGTTTTTGCACTTAAGTGGGGCCCTTCTTCAATATTTGGGGTCCAGGAAGCAAAATTTGGGGTTAACGCAATCCCTGGTAGGTTATCATGTTTTCTTGTGACTTTATTTGTTATATTGTTATATTAGCATTATAATTTTTTCAGTACCTCTTTTGCATGTTTACTTGAATCAAATAAATTATATACAGTGATACTGATATATGCAAGATAAGCAGACTAGTTTTGTTTTGTTTATGCTTTCTGAAACGTACCGTATCACAGATGAGCACAAATACCAAATGTAATTTATGTACCGGTAATACAGTAGTTGTAGGTTTTAGGATAAACTAGACAAGCTACAAATCACAACTATATATTGTAAAGAAAATGGTAGGGAAGGGAAAAAAACCACCTGTCTGTCACGGTTTCACCTCAAAGAGAAATTTTATCCACCCAATCATCTCATGGGTAAAATTTCCCTTTGAGCCGATATTGTGACAT